AAACTAATTTAAATAATCTCCATTTCTGTAATATATCTTCCATTCTATCAAATGAGATCAAGACACAGAGAATAAAACCTGAAAAAGTATACAAAAATGCACTGCAAAGTCGCTGTTTTAAACCAAAAACATGGTCAGTTTTTTTCTTCCTCATGCACTGCGTGCTGCAGGATTTTTTTTTTTTCAACAAGTCGGCCGTCTCCCACCGAGGCAGGGTGACCCAAAAAAGAAAGAAAATCCCCAAAAAGAAAATACTTTCATCATCATTCAACACTTTCACCACACTCACACATTATTACTGTTTTTGCAGAGGTGCTCAGAATACAACAGTTTAGAAGCATATACGTATAAAGATACACAACGTATCCCATTTACTGCACAGACCCATTCTCTCATATCTAGGTCCAAATTTACCACTGACAGCTTATCTGAGTGAGCTGATACTATGGGACCAACACTGGCTTCAGAGCCATGATATAACAGAACCAACACCGAAAGCATTAAGAAAGAAGGCAGACAGGCAGCATTAAACTACAGACCTATGCCACTGTTATGTATAGTATGTAATGCCAGGGAGAACATCATCCGAAGAAGAGTGATGGAGCACACAGAAAGGATTGGGCTCATACATGACAATCAGCACGGCTTCAGGGAAGGGGAATCCTGTGTCACAAATCTACTTGAATTCTATGATATGGTAACAAAAGACAGGAGAGAGAGGGATGGGTAGATTGCATCTTTTTGGGCTGCAAGAAGATTTTTGACATGGTACCACACAAGAGACTGGTTCAAAAATTAGAAGAGTAGGCAGGAATAGTAAGGAAAAACTGCAATGGATCTGGGAATACCTGACAGGAAGGAAACAACGAGTGTTGGTATGAGATGAAGTGTCAGAGTGGGTGCATGTATCGAATGGGGTTCCACAAGAGTCAGTCCTAGGTGCTGTTTCTTGTATACGTGAATAACATGATGGAAGGAATAAATTCAGTAGAGTAGCTGTTCGATGATGTGAAACTAATGAGGAGAATACAAGTTGGCGAGGATTAGCTAAGATTACAAATGGATAAGGACAGGCTACAAGTCTGGTCTGACAAATGGCTCCTGGAGTTTAACCCCAGCAAGCGCAAAGTCATGAAGATTGGGGAAGGACAATGAAGATCACAAATGGAGTAGAGGTTAGGAGATCAAAGGCTGCAAACTTCACTTAAAGAAAAGGATCTTAGGGTAAGTATTATAATGAACATGTCCCCTGAGGCGCACATCAATCAAATAACTGCTGCAGCATATGGGGGCTTGGCAAACCTGAGAATAGCATTTAGACATCTGAGTAAGGAGACATTCATGACACTGTACAGTTTTTATGTCAGGCCTATACTAGAGTATGCAGCACCAGTATGGAACCCACACCTAGTCAAACATGTCACGAAATTGGAGAAAGTGCAAAAGTTTGCAACAAGATTAGTCTCGGAGCTGAGGGGTACGTCTTACGAGAAAAGGTTAAGGGAACTCAACCTGTGTGTGATGAATGGTTTTGAAAACCGACAAGTAGAAGATTGAGACACTTACGCAACATATGGGAATCTTTACTGAGGAAACGTTTTGCCACACAGTGGCTTCATCAGTCCAATACAAAGCTTTGTATTGGACTGATGAAGCCACTGTGGCAAAACGTTTCTTCAATACAGATTCCCATATGTTGCATAAGTGTCTCAATCTTCCTCCTAGAAGTCAACCTGATGACACTAGAGAATAGGAGGGATTGGGAATGACGTATAAAACACTGAGAGAAATTGACAAGGTGTACAGGGCTAAAATATTTCAGAGAGGAATAATCTGGAGAGTGAAGTAGTGGAGGCAAGTTCCATACATAACTTTAAGAAGAGGTGTGATAAAGCTCATGGAGCAGGGAGAGAGTGACTTAATATCAACCAGCAAAGAGGCAGGGCCAGGGGCTATGACTCGACCCCTCCAACCACATATAGGTGAGGACAACCACAGTAACACTACACAACCACAGTAAACACTACACAACCACAGTAACACACTATGCAACACAACCACAGTAACACACCATGCAACACAACCACAGTAACACACTACACAACACAACCACAGTAACACTACACAACACAACCACAGTAACACTACACAACACAACCACAGTAACACACTACACAACACAACCACAGTAACACTACACAACACAACCACAGCAACACACCATGCAACACAACCACAGTAACACACTACACAACAAAACCACAGTAACACACTACACAACACAACCACAGCAACACACTACACAACACAACCACAGCAACACACCAGACACAACACAACCACAGTAACACTACACAACAAAACCACAGTAACACACTACACAACACAACCACAGCAACACACTACACAACACAACCACAGTAACACACCATGCAACACAACCACAGTAACACACCATGCAACACAACCACAGTAACACACCATGCAACACAACCACAGTAACACACTACACAACACAACCACAGCAACACACTACACAACACAACCACAGCAACACACTACACAACACAACCACAGCAACACACTACACAACACAACCACAGTAACACAGTACACAACACAACCACAGCAACACACTATGCAACACAACCACAGTAACACACTACACAACACAACCACAGTAACACACCATGCAACACAACCACAGTAACACAGTACACAACACAACCACAGCAACACACTACACAACACAACCACAGTAACACAGTACACAACACAACCACAGCAACACAGTACACAACACAACCACAGTAACACAGTACACAACACAACCACAGTAACACAGTACACAACACAACCACAGTAACACAGTACACAACACAACCACAGTAACACAGTACACAACACAACCACAGTAACACAGTACACAACACAACCACAGCAACACACTACACAACACAACCACAGTAACACAGTACACAACACAACCACAGTAACACAGTACACAACACAACCACAGTAACACACTACACAACACAACCACAGTAACACATTACACAACACAACCACAGTAACACACTACACAACACAACCACAGCAACACACACTACACAACACAACCACAGTAACACACTACACAACACAACCACAGTAACACAGTAACAACACAACCACAGTAACACAGTACACAACACAACCACAGTAACACACTACACAACACAACCACAGTAACACACTACACAACACAACCACAGCAACACACTACACAACACAACCACAGCAACACACCATGCAACACAACCACAGTAACACAGTACACAACACAACCACAGTAACACATTACACAACACAACCACAGCAACACAGTACACAACACAACCACAGCAACACACTACACAACACAACCACAGTAACACACTACACAACACAACCACAGCAACACACTACACAACACAACCACAGTAACACACTACACAACACAACCACAGCAACACACTACACAACACAACCACAGCAACACACTACACAACACAACCACAGTAACACAGTACACAACACAACCACAGCAACACTCTACACAACACAACCACAGCAACACTACACAACTGCAGTAACACAGTACACAACACAACCACAGTAACACTCTACACAATTCAACCACAGTAACACTCTACACAACACAACCACAGTAACACTCTACACAACACAACCACAGCAACACTCTACACAACACAACCACAGCAACACTCTACACAATTCAACCACAGTAACACTCTACACAACACAACCACAGTAACACTCTACACAACACAACCACAGTAACACTCTACACAACACAACCACAGTAACACTCTACACAATTCAACCACAGTAACACTCTACACAATTCAACCACAGTAACACTCTACACAACACAACCACAGTAACACTACACAACACAACCACAGTAACACTCTACACAACACAACCACAGCAACACTCTACACAACACAACCACAGCAACACTCTACACAACACAACCACAGCAACACAGTACACAACACAACCACAGCAACACTCTACACAACACACAACACAACCACAGCAACACAGTACACAACACAACCACAGCAACACACTACACAACACAACCACAGTAACACACTACACAACACAACCACAGCAACACTCTACACAACACACAACACAACCACAGCAACACAGTACACAACACAACCACAGCAACACAGTACACAACACAACCACAGCAACACAGTACACAACACAACCACAGCAACACAGTACACAACACAACCACAGCAACACAGTACACAACACAACCACAGTAACACATTACACAACACAACCACAGCAACACAGTACACAACACAACCACAGTAACACATTACACAACACAACCACAGCAACACAGTACACAACACAACCACAGTAACACAGTACACAACACAACCACAGCAACACAGTACACAACACAACCACAGTAACACACTACACAACACAACCACAGTAACACATTACACAACACAACCACAGCAACACAGTAAACAACATAACCACAGTAACACACTACACAACACAACCACAGCAACACAGTACACAACACAACCACAGCAACACAGTACACAACACAACCACAGCAACACAGTACACAACACAACCACAGTAACACATTACACAACACAACCACAGCAACACAGTAAACAACATAACCACAGTAACACACTACACAACACAACCACAGCAACACAGTACACAACACAACCACAGTAACACAGTACACAACACAACCACAGTAACACAGTACACAACACAACCACAGTAACACATTACACAACACAACCACATCAACACAGTACACAACACAACCACAGTCACACACTAGACAAAACACAACCACAGTCACACACTAGACAAAACACAACCACAGTAACACACTACACAACACACCCACAGCAACACAACCACAGTAACACTACACAGCACAACCACAGTTCACTTACTTTATTCCCCCAGAGAAGTTTCTTCTTACGTTCTTGTTCAGCAAACTTCATGGGGTTCATGGCTGCTGGGTTATAATAGGAAGGAAGAGCGATACCTGTTTGTTTCTGTACCTCTACCATCTGGGCCTCCATGCTGCGCTTCAGCAGCTCGGCAGCTGTCAAGTCTGGGTTGGCAGCCTTCAACAGTGCTAGCTTCTGCTGGGCCTCTGTCAAAAACACCATGCATGGTAATACAGGAATATAAACAGTATACATGGTAATACATTAATGGAAACAGTATACATGGTAATACATTAATGGAAACAGTATACATGGTAATACATTAATGGAAACAGTATACATGGTAATACATTAATGGAAACAGTATACAGTGGAATCTCAAATATCAAACTTAATATGTTCCAGGAGTTAGTTCTAAATTTGAAAAGTCTGAAAAGCGAAGCAATATTTCCCATAAGAAATAATGGAAATACAATAAATCCATTCCAGAAACTCAAAAATATTCACCCAAAAAATACATTTTATAGAGATTAATTATAGTTTTACATACACACAACAAATATAGTGTCCAATTACGTATTAATAAATTTAAATAAAAATACAAAATAACATTTTACTTACCTTTACTGAAGATTGTTGATGGCATTTGGAAGATAGGGAGGAGGAGAGAGGGAGTTGGGGTTAGTGTTTGGAAGGAGAATCCCCCTCCATGAGGACTTCAGGTACAGCCCTCTCTGGGGTTACTTCCCTTCTCTGTCTTTTAATGCCATTACGACCAGCTTGAGAGTCACTGGACCCCTGTCTCACAAAATCACTGTCCACAGTCCTCTGTTTCTGGTGCCTCTAAGATTTCCTTAAAATGGGACATTGTTCTGTCACTGAACTTGTTGGAAAAATGGCTTGTTTCAGCTTGGTCAGGGTGGTACTTCTCCACAAACATTTGGACATCATTCCACTTCTGTATTATTTCCTTCTTCACATCTATGGTGTTTCTCACTTTCTTTACCACAGGGGTACCACTAGCAAGTTTCTTTGGGCCCATTGTAGCTTATTTCACAGTCCCACAAGCATTAAACAATATGAAATAATCGTAAAATGTTTGAATGAGAGCTCAAGTTAGTGTTCACTCAAGCATCAACAAAATCAGACTGGCTCACAGTGCCTGTGTGGGGACGCGGACAGAGCGGGCTGCCGGACAGGTCTGGTACTCGGCGGTTCGAAAATAGGGGCAAGTTCTATTTTCGAAGAGTTCGATAAGCGATATGTTCAAAATTTGAGGTTCCACTGTACATGGTAATACACGAATGAAAACAGTATACATGATAATACATAAATATAAACAGTATACATGGTAATAAATGAATGGATTAGGGGGAAAGGCCTGAGCTAGCTACCACTTGCAGCTCACAAGACTGCCATCCCCACGAGCCCCAATGGGGTGGGGCAGATGGCAGACCAGAGGCCTAGCTTCTCCCTGCGAGCTCCATGAGGGCGGGGACTGTGGCTAGGCCGGGGGACACTTGGTCCCAAAGATGAGGGGGTATTTGTACCTCCTCCCATGGGAGACTTAGGTCTCGAGACACTCCCCAGATAGGGAGCCAAGGCCGGGTCACCACTCTTGGAAAAGACCCGGACAGGGAGAGTAACAGCGAATAAAAAAAAGAAAAAATAAAGAATGGAAACGGTATACATGGTTGGTAGGTAAGACACATAGGCAACAGTTAGGCAACTTTATTCCGAAACGTTTCGCCTACACAGTAGGCTTCTTCATTCGAATACAGAAAGTAGGCAGGAACAGTAGAGATGTGAAGACGATGTAATCAGTCCATCACCCTTGAAGTCATAGATTTGAGGTTGACTTCAAGGGTGATGGACTGATTACATTGTCTTCACATCTGTACTGTTCCTGCCTACTTTCTGTATTCAACTGAAGAAGCCTACTGTGTAGGCGAAACGTTTCGGAATAAAGTTGGCTAACTATTGCCTATGTGTCTTACCTACCAACCTGTCGGTATTGTATACCATTTTGGTATACATGGTAATACATGAATGGAAACAGTATACATGGTAATACATGAATGGAAACAGTATACATGGTAATACATTAATGGAAACAGTATACATGGTAATACATTAATGGAAACAGTATACATGGTAATACATTAATGGAAACAGTATACATGGTAATACATTAATGGAAACAGTATACATGGTAATACAGGAATGGAAATATTATATATTTTAACACTTTCAGGGACCAGACTCCAGATCTGAAAATTGCTCCAAGGGTCCAAGAATTGGAAGAAAAAAAAAACCATGAAATGGAGAATCATTTTCCTAAGGTAATAAAACCAAAGGTATGAAACTTGATGGAAAACTTATGGCAATATGCTCTCACAAAGTTAGTGGCCTTGGCAATATTTACGCATTGGTGATTTCGCCCAATTTGAGCTCTATTTTAGGCCAATTCCATTGTTCCAGTCAATTAAACTTAGTTGTTTTGCTAGTATTTCTTCCATTCTATTGATTAAGCAAAATAAACTGCCCATTTAACTACTTCAATTACCTAATAAAGTGATCAAAAGTTGGTAATTTGGCCAATTTCACATGAAATTAAAAAATTGCTAATTTAAAAATAGGGTCCAGAATAAAGAGCGAAGACATTCCTGGCACTAAAACAATATTTCCTCTGTTCATTAGTTACATTCCCGGGTCTCTCCTATATTACACTTGTTTTCCATTTTGAATTTTTATCCACACAAAAAAATAGAAGATTTACTGTTATGCAGACTACTGCATTATTGTAATAATTGTATAAAAAATGTCAGCGCATTTATGAATACTAAGTAGACCAGCCATTTGAACATGAATTGGACAAGTGACCTGATTTGTCTTCTGAAGTATTGACAAAAATCTAATATTTCTGCTACAGGTCCTCCATCACAAATCCGGCATCACTGGGACCTGTAGTGTGCGGATTACTGAGTTTGTCGGATTACAGAGTGGTTAGGTTAGAATACACTTAATAAAATTAACCAACTTGACTTACACAAAGTTCATTGAACATCGGCAAAAATCGAACATTTCCGTTACTTTGAGCTCAATTTCAAGGTACTTTTCATCATGAAAACAATCAAAATCATGTATATTTCTGTAACATATCTTCCATTCTATCAAATGAGTCCAAAAAAATGAGAATACAACCATAAAAACCATACGAAAATACAGTGGACCCCCGGTTAACAATATTTTTTCATTCCAGAAGTATGCTCAGGTGCCAGTACTGACCGAATTTGTTCCCATAAGGAATATTGTGAAGTAGATTAGTCCATTTCAGACCCCCAAACATACACGTACAAACGCACTTACATAAATACACTTACATAATTGGTCGCATTGGGAGGTGATCGTTAAGCGGGGGCCCACTGCATACTGCAAAGAGGCGGCTAATGTCTGAGAAGTGAACTCCCTTTTTATCATCCGTCTTTTTTATTTTTGTTCTACGTTAAGAAGCATCTTTCCATCATACACTGCCCAAGTTTCAATGAGACAGCCCAACAAACAATCGAGAAAAAAAAATATTTACCAAAAATCATATATGGCAAGCCCAAGCCTGGTACTGGAAATAAGTCACTGACTTTTTTGGGTTATCCTAGGTTCTCTATACATACACTGTTATGTATGATAATCTATGTAACTGTATTTGTGTATGCCTGAATAAACTTATTTACTTCCAGTCTGTCAACTGAGTACAAGAAACCGCCCATTCACTTATTTCAACTACCCAATAAAGTGGTCAGAAATTGGCAAGACTCAAGAAGAAGATTGAGACACTTATGCAACATATGGGAATCTTTATTCAGGAAACATTTCGCCACACAGTGGCTTCATCAGTCCAATACAAAGTAGAAAGGCGTAAGGAGAGGAGGAGTTTGAGGTAATCAGTCCCTCAGCCTGGAGTCGATGTGTTCAGTCCATCAATCTTGTAGAATGTACAGCATAGGGCCGTAGACGTGGCTTATATACTGTAGTGAGGTGAGGCGAAGCAGGAGGGGGGTAGGGTCATAGGGGTCCCATCCACTGCGAAGTAGACTTTTTCCAAAGGTTAAACAAAGTTTTGAAGAATTCTTTGTAACAAACCCCCATGATGCGCAGTGTTGCAGTTGTGATGAAGGGTTTGAAAAACCGACAAGTTAAGATTGAGACACTTATCAACAAATGTTGGCGAAACATTTCCTGAATAAAGTTTCCCATAATTTTCAAAAGTGTCCTCTTCAAACTTTTCGGTTTTAAAACCCTTTCTCAAAGACTCAAAAATTTTTTTTTTTGAATTGGCTAACGCAACATCTGGAGTTTTGAGACTCTGATCGGGGTTTCATCCCCCCCCAGGGTATGGTTAAAAATTGGCAATTTGGCCAATTTCACACAAATTTAAACGGGGGAAATTTCAAAATGGGTCTAGAGTAACAATGCAGACCTCCCTGGCACTAAAATAACATTTTCCCCTTTTCATTTCACGGCTACAAAGCCCCTTTTCCTTTAAAAATTTTTATTCACAAAAAAAAAGAGATTTTTTGGTTTGCAGACTGCTGCATTATTTTAATAATTGTATTGTTTTTTTTTATTTTATTTTTTTTTTTATGCTTCCAAACAGTACACTGAGATTGTGAAATTTAAAATAGGGGGTTTTTGCAATGAAAAGAGAGCCTCTATTTCCCGGGGTTTAAAGGGAAAATTAACATTATTGGTTTTCATTTATTAATACTAAAAAAGTATATCACAGTTGAAAGTAGGAAAGTAATTATTTCATAGTTGTACGAGAATATTAATTATAAATGAATCAAAATTTGTTAATACAAAGATTTTACGTATTTTTATTTTAAAATGCTTTTTGAAAAACTGATTCAATTATATTTTCCCGTCAACAATGGATAAAAAAATTCAAAGTGATTTTTGAAGTTATGATGTGGGAGTACATAGGTGGGGTAAATGTGTATGGATTTTATTTTTAGGGGATTTGTCTTTTAAAAAAAAAAAGAAAAAAAAAAAAAAAAAAAAAAAAAAACGGAAAAAAATTTTTGGGGGTTTTGTTTAGAGGGTTTTTTTAAACAGGTGATTTTTTTTTGGACGAGGGGTTCATTACAGATCGTGGGTTTTTGGTCATTGTCCGTTTTGGTTTTGTGAGGAGAAGTTGAGTGGGGGTTTA